CAGAAAAAAATCATGTATCTACTGAAATGCACAAAGTCTGCTATCTTTATCTCTAAGCAGTACTGCACACTGGCTGTGTGCAGAGCTTGTACAGTGCTAGGTGCTGTAACTAACTAGGAGACTGATTTTCAGGTGTTCAGAGGGTGCAAGTACTGCACTGATCGTACTGGGGACATCTGTATGTGAATTCTCTAGAATATGATAACCCATAGTCTGTCTTGTGAATTTATTTTAAAAGCAGCCTGTTGAGTCATAATATGAATAACTAAGCCTAGAGAATCCACCTTGGTCAGTGTCTGAAAGCAGAAAATGGGCATTATTTGTCAGAAAAGATGACAAAACAAAGTGTTCAGTGGTAGACTGGGGTGGAACGTGTCATGCCAGAGAAGGAAAGACAGACAAGGGAACAAATGACTACGACACAAAATTTATTTGGGAAGAGGCCTGTGGAGGGGAGCTCTCTAGTCCAAGAAACCAGAGAGCTCGCCACCACCTACAGGCTGAGCAATTATGGGATAGAAAGGGAGAGACATAAGAGGACTGAATTTCTCTTTTGGGAGACTGTTGTTAGGGATAGCTATGGAAATAGGTGTTTGGTGTGTGAGAGAACATTAGGCAACCCATAACCATATCTGTGGCCACCATTACAGGAGGGTTGACAGGGTGGAGAGGGCAAGAATCTAGAAAAACAAGTTGCTTTAGTTCTGAGAGCCAAATTACTTCAGTTCCTGCAACTGCTGTGTTTAGCCAAAATGGAGAAGCTTTATCCAGTAGAGCAGCGTGGCTGACAAAGAGCAGTGTTAATTGGTGAGAACACAGCAGTTAAGGGTAACCCTGTTGTGGGGAGCCTTGTGATCTATGGTCTAGCCTGTACCACATCTTCAGAAAAAGAAACAGCTTCAAGAAGGGCTTTTGCTGCTCAGAGAGCAGCAGCAGCGTGGAAGCACTGTGCTCCTGACTCAGTTCTGATGTCAAAGAGAGAGCATCCCAGGCCTGAAAGCACCAACATACTTGGGTGGGGTGGGGTGACCGGGGATCCAGTCATACAGATGTGGCTCTAAGACAGAAAGTTGTTACAAAGTTGAAGCACCAGGACCCTGGGGTTTGGTTCATTTGTTTCATTTTGCTGAGAACTGAGCCCTTTTTTTTTTTTTTTTTTTTTTTATGGGTTGTTTGTTGAAACAGGGTCTCTATATTACATAGCCCTGGCTGTCCTGAAACTCACTAAATAGACTAGGCTGGCCTCAAAAAAGATCTGCCTGCTTCTGCCTCTCAAGTGCTGGGATTAAAGATATACACCAATACACTCTACTCTAAGCATTTCTTTATAGATTTTTATATTTAGCAGAACGAGAAAATGTCTGTGTAAGGAATCTAAAATAGGAGTCTTTTCTATCACATACTAGAAAACTTGTGTTTGGGACAAGGAATTCATTTCTGAATTCTATTTACCCCCTTGTAAAACTTTGATGCAAATGTTTTAAAATCACCACCACCACCACCACCACCACCACCACCACCACCACCTAGTACAACTATTCTTTATGAAAAGGTCCACTGCTCTAGTCCAGCAATCTGAAAGCCTGGAGCAGTGACCCTTCCCCCCTTCCTTCATTTCCTTTCTAGCACCAATTCTTTACGGACTAAGCCAATTAAATTAAGACTGTGAGGTCAAAACCCAACCATTAAGGAAAAGATACAGTCACCACCCAAGTTAGAATAAAACCCAAATGACACTTCCGGTGTGTGTGTTTGCTCTTCATGATCAAGAGTGACTTTACCTTGTCTAGACACTTCGGCTGGAATGGTGGTCTCTTATTCCTAACATCTGCCATGGCCATATGGAAGTAGCTTCTCTGGAGAAAAACAAATGTGTTGCTCAATGACCAGGTTATCAGTCTTGCCTTTCAATGGAATGCAGATTCTTACATTTTAAAACAATGTGGCCCTCTCACTTGAGTACTTCCCTTAAAGAACAGAAATGACTGTTTTCATGTATAAAACAGATAATAACTGCTATATATAACTGGCATAAACACTCTGATGGTGATTACAGCCTTCTTTTAAAAAATAATAGCTCCAGAGAAGGGACTGGAATGGAACACTGATTTGTGGTGTGCATATAATTAGTGTGTGTCAACTTTCTGCAAGGGAACTGAATTCTGTTGATTTCCATCAGCGCTATTTCATTACCCTGCAGTCTCTTTTTGTCCAGTCCTGTGAATATAATTTTAATATTAATTACATTCAATTAAATGTCACATTTAGTAGAAAGATTTTGCCACTGAGCTTTAAAAAGACCATAGCTAAAATTGGAGGGTTCCGAAAAGCAGGCAGGCCATCCAGCTTCCTGGGCTTTTTGTCCTTAAACACCAATTACCTGTATTGCTATGCACATTATGGACAATGAGCTATAGTTTAATTATTTATGGGATTGTAAAAGCATCCCCCTACATGTATAGATGATAAGCTATTACATTTGTCAAGATCAGATAGCAGCAGCTGTGTGGCAGGGATGTGAAATTTAAATATTCAATGCCTGTCAGTCTTGAAACACGGTAGACCCCATTACCATGCATGCAGGACATCCTGGTTTTCGCCTTGGTTGTGGACCACTGATAAGAAGATTTAAATGACTGTGGAAAGGCTTTTGCTCCAGGCCAGAGACCTCAATAGAAATCCATTTCTATATCTTGTGCTGTGGTATTGACTGACACTAGCTGGTGGTGAAATGCAGCCATTCATATGTAAAGGTTGTTCTTCCAGGGAACTGCCTGGGTCTGATAAGAGAAAAGAAGCAAAGCTTCTATAGTGTGTTTAAGCTTTCCAAGAATCACCCGTGCAGATGCTACTCATTACACTGTTTTTCCATCAAAAAAAAAAAAAAAAGTCCACAGATAAAACTATCTTCAGTCTAATTTTGAAGTGATTGTTGTTTTGCTAGAAAGATAGCTCTTTGGGACCACAAGTGTGATCCCTGTAAAAATGTTCATTCTCTTACCTCTGTGGTTGCTTATCAGATGTCTGCACTTCTGCACAATGATCAAAAGCAGAATTTACATCTTGACTTGAACAACATTTTACAAATATTTTTTCAGTCTGAACCCATTTTAGAGAAGTCTTAGGTTGTCATTTATCTTTAAATATTAAACATACATGTTTGATGGAATTCACTATTAAATTATTGTGAACTGTAAGTTAAAATGGCAGGAAGTTGTCATTCTGTAATGATCTATTTTTCAGTGCCTTTTTGGTTTAAACAGGTGCTTAGACACCGTCAGTGCAGATGTCACCCCTCCTCAGTCAAAAAATCATTACTTGAGTGTTAATATTTATTTTCAAGAAAAGGGACATTGCTTGTAATCGTTTGTGGAGTTTATATATAGTTTCTAACCTTTAAAGCAGAAAGCCATAGAGCTAGGGACACAGCCCAGTTGGCAGCCTACTTGCACAAGCCCTGGGTTTGATCCCCATCACACTGCTGTAGTCCCAGCATTCAGGAGGTAGAGGCAAGAGGGTCAGGAACTTGGTATCTTCCTCAGCTACATGAAGGATACATGAGACATAGTCTCCCTCCTTTGAAAAGCTTACATTCTTTAGTGTTTGTGAGGTGGCAGGTGGGCACTTGTGTGCCACAGCATGCATGTGGAGGTCAAAGAACTACTTTCAGGGTCAGTTCTCGCCTTCCACCATGTAGAACCTGGCATGGGACCTTTATCCACTAAACTATCACCAGCTGTTTTGGGGGTTTTGTTTGTTTTTTAATGGTAGGAAGGTCTGGAGAGATGACTCCATGGTTATAGTTAAGAGTACTTGCTGCTCTCTTCCATAGTGAGGGAGAGTTGGGAGAATACTCCCTTTCTTTTGGGAAAGGCAGCTGAGAAGAAAAGGCCTGTGGGGGCAAACATTTGGGTGAAAGTAGAAGAAAACAGAAGGACTGGGGGCTAACAAAATGCCTAACCTTGAGTTCCCATCCCTGGGATGCTCAGCTGTTTCCCCTCCTATCCCCCAGATGCCAGTCTGCTTCAGTAAAGCATTTTGGTGTTTGTTTGTTGTTTCCTTTAGCTCCCTCTGCATTTCTGTTTGTGGTCTTTCCCAGGCAGTCTGTCTGCCCCATAGAATGAATACAGCTAACACCAGGTTCAGTTCCATTCCCAGTACCCATGTCAGGCAGCTCATATCTGCTGTGACGACAGCTCCTGGGGAACCAATGCCTTCTTCCAGTCTCTAGGTGTACCTGAATACACGTGGCACACACACACACACACAGACATACACTTTTTTTTTTTAATTTAGATTTTTTGAGACAGGGTTTCTCTGTCTAACAGCCCTGGCTATATGAACTCGCTCTATAGACCAGGCTGGCCTCAAACTCACAGAGATCCGCCTGTGTCTGCCTCCCGAGTGCTGGGAGTAAAGGCTTGTGCCACCACTACCCAGCTGACATACACATTTTGTTTGTTTTGAGACAGGGTCTCCTATGTAGCTCTGGATGTCCTGGAATTCACTATGCAGACCAAGCTGGCCTTGAACTCACAGAGATCTGCCTGCCTCTGCCTCCTGAATTATTGGATTAAAGGTGTATGCCACTATGCCTGACACACATAAGTAATTTTTTAAAAAATTTTTAAAAAGAAATGGAGGCTGGGCATTGGTGGTGTACACCTTTAATCCTAGCACTTGGGAGGCAGAGGCAGG